GAGTACCATAATCCACAATCTGGGTGATTGTCGACATAGTTGCAAAAATGGTCGACTGCTCGCCTTGATCCCATAGCTCTAGTGCATCCAATGTCCAGGATTGCAATAGTTGGCGGGAAGCGATTCTCAGTCAAAAATGAAATAGCCTGCATCTCCTTCACTTCTTCCTCAGCGCTCATAAGCGCAAAGCCATCAGCGCTCATAAGCGCAAAGCCATCAGGAGCCTTTGTGAGCATCTCCTTTGACAAAGAGTACCTCACAGGGGCACTCATGTCATCGAAGATCGTCTCACCATTGTTGACCACGCAGTCAGCTTCATCTTGGCATGAGGTCATCATGCCTGACAGCAAGTCCACCTCACTGTCATGGACTTCAGCTGCTGCTGTCACACAATGTGCATAGAAACATTGTTGACCTCCTGATGCTTGTGAAGTTCTTGAAGGTGCAGGTAAAGAACGTGGCTGTTGTTGATTTGCATAGTTTGCATCTTGTTTGCCATCTCCTTTATCTTTTCCTTTTCCTTTCTTGCCTTTTCTCTTGCCTTTTCCTTTTCCTTTGTGGGAAAACCATGCTTCTTCAAGCTGTTGCCAAAAGTCATTGGCATCATCATATTCTCCTTGAAGATAGTCATTCATATCCTCGGCAAGAATGGCATCATATGCTCCTTGGTTTGACTCCCAAGTGTCCTCATAAGGATTCTCTTCAAGGTATTCATCTGGAAAAGTTGTCTGTTGCTCATCAGCAAAATGGCCTTTACCTCGTCTCTTTCCTTTTCCTTTTCCACGAGGTCTGAAGAATCTACGGCCTGATCTTCCTTTTCCTTTTCCTTTCCTTCTACCTTTTCCTTTGCCTTTTCTGGCTCTTCTTCCTTGGAATCTCCTTTGGAACCACGAGAAGTTTTGATCATCATATACCCAAAAGACATCGTCCAGGGCATCTAAAAATCCTTCAGTTCCATCTTCTTCATCTTCGGCCCAATAGCCAAATGTACCATCGAGTTCTCCTTCGTCTAGTACGAGAAATGATCTTCTTCCTCCAGCACCTGTCGGCTGCATCAATGGATTGTCTACTGAAGTCTTTGTCGTGCAGAACATCTCGATGAAAACTGTCCTCAGCTCTGTTGTAGTGTATTGCTGCAGGTACCTGCCACGATGAGTCATCAAAGAAGTCAAAGTGTTTCGCTGGTCCTGAGACAAATCTGCAAGTGACAGCATGAGTAAAGCAATCAGATTTTCTCCTAGAGGAAATTCGTTCTGATGAAGAATTCTCATATTGCCATTGACATTCTGCATGATTTCCTGAATCCTTTCTGCCGTTGGTGCTACTCCAGTCAACGCTGCATCTGCTTGCATCTGAGCAAGGACTTGGGGATGTGCTTGAGTGACTGGTTCTAACATGTCCATCCAACTGCTCATAAGCCTTTGGAGTAAAATCTGGAATCTTGTCATCCATTTCATCATGTCAGCTGATCCTCGATTGAATCGCACGAATTGCATAAACCTGTATAGGAATACATTGGTTGATCCTTTCACGAAATATGGTCGTAGTACTCGTTTGAAGTAATCTACTCCTGCTCCTGGTGGCTCATTAGCCTTCAATGAATCTCTGTCTAATACACGTTTGTATACTGCTGCTTCTCCTTCTAATCTGTTTCTCAAAGCTGGTCCTCTCTTCTCTTCTTCCAGCTCGGTGATATCACACCAATCGTCTATGGCATCCTCATAGGAAAACCATGAAGTCTTTCCATCATAAGATGGGGGCACCTTTGTAGTGACCTGTGTTGTCATTGCTATTGCTGCTGGTTCTCTTCTCACATGCCTATTCACGTAGGCTGCTGGCTCATAAGCCACATCCGCATCAGGCTCTTCCCAGTCGTCAATCCAATCCATGGCCGTTTGCCCACAAGCAATTCTATGCCTAGGAAAGGAGCTCACCTGGGTCTTCCAGGATCACTGCTCCGCTACCACTGAAAGAGTGACTAGGGCGTACACGGTAGAGGTGCAGACCGCTAGTGTCTTTTATGCGCAGAGTCTT